ACAAGCTCACATAGGCCAAATATTTCTGAAGCAGATCACAAAACACCTCATGATCAGAGGCAGCTAAAAGGAATGGTAAGAGTAATTAAAAATAAACACAGCACTCATAAAACATTGCGATTAGAGATGCTTTTGCACAGCTGGAACTATAACACCAGCAACTCCCCCCACTGTCCCCAACACATGGGAGTTTTGACTGTTTTCCCAATGCTTCTGTAGTATACAAAGACCCCTGTAAAATAAGTACCRTGAAGTCTTTCCTCCTATTTCGGGCTGCAGCAGAGCAGGATTGCTAAATCACGACACACAAGGTAATCAAAAACATTCAGGAACACAAACCTGAGTGACAAGAGCAGCCACCTTGCTCTACACCCCAGCTATAGGATACGGTGGGTAAGAGAAGTTACTGCTTTCAGCCATCCCTGAGCATGTGCTTCAGCTGCTCTGATAGTCGCACATTCCATAAAATACAGTTTTCTGTGAAAACGTGCTCAAAGCAGACAGAGGGGCATCTCAAGTTGCACCAAAGTTGGATGTTACACCGGGACAACGGGAAACTCCCAGGATCCTGGTGGGGACCTTGGTGGGCGCAAGACACCTGCTCCCCACAGAGATGCAAAGCACACAGGCTCAGCCTAAGAAGAGCACAAAAAACACCCTTCCAAGGGAAGGAGCAGCCTGCGCTACCCAGGTGATTACAAGTCACTTATGGTTCTGAARCAAAAGAACGATTATAATAAGGCAGATCCAAGCAAGGCCATGACAGCAGGAAAGCCCCTTCCCAACCCTCTGTGAAGGGAGGCTGAGCGCAGGGCTCCGCTCGCAGCTCAGCGCAGCCCCGGGGTGCAGGGCAGCACACCGGCCAGGGGACGGGGCTCGCTCGGCCACCACCGAGACCGCGGAGGTGCACGGGGAGGCCGAGGGGCGAGCCGGGGGCTCCGGGGAAAGCTCGGCCCGGGGCGCACAGCGCGGGCGGGCCGGGGGCAGGGAGGCCGCGGCCTCAGGGGCGCTCACCTCGTCCGCGCTCAGCTCCTCCATCGCCGTCCTCTTAATGGTGACCGGGGGAGGGAGCCCCGCGGGAGCGCGCCCCGCCGCCGCTGCCCCCCGGGCGCCTCACAAGGGCATCGCCGGGGCGGCGGCGCCGCC